TAGCCAGTGAGCATATCAACGTACTAGAAGATGGCACGCTGTACAAACTCTTTAGGGACTCTGTTGGTCTATGACAGTATCTGAAGAGACCAACACCTCCTCCAGTGCTCCTGGAGGAACGACTTCATGTTGTCCTGTTCAAAGCATTGTTGAGTCCTTGTCGGAGTGACATATCCTTTTCCTAAAGCCAGCATGGTTTCTAGCGTCAAAATACTACCTACAAAGCAGCCCCAATACTGGATTACAGATATATCGCGCCATATACGAACTCTTTCGTAACCCTACTGGATCATTAGCGCCAGTCTCACTCACTTATTGCTATATCGCCACCACGGCAAGTTGTAGAGCATGGCTCGAGTTGGCAAGCGTTATTTTATTTCACTGCCAGAGGCCCCCCTCGTCTGGCAATGCAAGGGTTGATATTGTGTGCAGTATGGTCCTAGTATGTTCTTATGCAGGTAGTGATGCTGCTTGTCATATATGACTGCAACCCGGGGCTTTACCCAGCTTCCCCGGTTCCAAAGTTTTTCTTGTACAGAGTATGTACCTATGATCTGACAAATATAACAGAGTAATCTCTCTTACATTCCCATATCTGCCAGGGCTTCTTTCTTCTATACTAGACAAATCATGTGGATATGATGACTCTGGTTGGAGATAAAAGTGCATATCCGCTGCTGTAATACATGCTCTATTGATTGACTGTCAGTCATGGAGGAATGCTAATCACATGGCCGTCCGTAAGCATATGTACCCCCCAAGAACCAAAACTCAGCCAGCCAAAGGACACACTCATCTCATCAGTCCTACGGTAACAGCTCACGGCCCCCCTAACCCCTGTGCACACGCTTCCCTATCCAGCGACGTGCATCTTCTTGATCCAAACCCTGGCCATTCTCCAGGTACAAGGCATCGGGAGGCCACAGCGTTGTATTTGCACGACCGTGATCCTTGAGATTTTATCCTTATTTGACTTGAATGTGTACGTATGTAACATAGCATGAGCATGTGCCCTAACCTAGACTGCTCTGAGGTGAGTCCTGCCAACGCAACATGTTTGGACGAAGTACATATCAAGCCTGGGATATCGAAGCACGCCCAAGTTAACACAGCATTTCTGTCATGTTCAGCTGGCGTACGAGGACCTCTATTAGCTTTTGGCTATCCAGGAGTGTGTGAAATATTAACACAATGCAATAGAGTCAGAACTTTTTCTTAAATTGGTTCATTTGGCTCCAAACCCATGGCAGTAAGGGTATTAGGACAAACTTTGGCTGGTACAAGCTGGCATCCTGTCGATGTGCTTAGGCTGTGAGGCAAAATTCCGACGAGAACAGGTCCGATCTGACAATAAAGTCCCGAAACTTGTCATGTCACATTGGTGAAATTGAGGCTACCCTATATGCTAAGATCTATGTATCCGTCTCTTATGATGATAAGCTCGTCTCACGTTATGTATCACTAGCTACATAGTATTCTACAGCAACAACCCATCACCACGATGAAGCAAAGAACTCATTGTGCCGATCGATGCTACATAGCTTTCTCAGAGCCTCACTTTGAGCCGGGATATGAAAGCATTATGAAGTTAAGGCCTCTTTCGTCGACTTGAGAGCTGGCAAACCGAGATGCATGTTGAAAGAAGCAAGCAAACACGCCCATCATTTACATGACTTGTCAAAACCAAGTGCCTGATCATGAAACACATCATGATCAGCATGTTAACCCCTGGGGCACCACACTGATAGTAGCGTGGTAATGTTACTTGCTGAGAAGACATCTCTTAAACAAACATGTGAACTCATCCGGGCGGCAAGATTTACAAGCCTAGTCTTCATCGTTGACTTTGTCAGCAACCATATCCTTGGCAGTGTTGATAACCTTCTCGGGGGGTCGCTCGACATGCTCAGCAGGAGTTCCAATGCCACTAGGGATAGGGGACAGTTGTGCGCTCACAACTCCGCTGCTAGGAACGGGAATTTTGATGTCTTGAGGTGACCCAGGGACGATCTGGGGATCCAGGCCAGGAATATGTATACGCTTGGCCTCATTTTGATATGCTGCTGGGATGATCTCGATGATCTCGTCGCGTGGAAAATTGATGACTGGGATGTCAGTGGTAGAGCAGTGCATTAAATAAGCGTAGAGAACTCGAAGCACAGATTCGTGGGCAATGATGAGAAGGTCGTGCTGTTCTCGCTCGAGTTCGAGAATGATGGGCTCCAGGCGGACAGCCAGATCATGGTATGACTATTGATAATTAGCATCGAGAAGATGACCGACTTCACCAATCCGTAATTGAAGCATACCTCTGCACGCGGATACCGGTGGTGGTAAGGGTCTAATTCGTGCTTTTCGACCTCATCGGGGTAGATCTGGCGAATCATACGCTCTGACATCTTCTCGCACACGCCTGGGTTGATTTGACTTAGTTGTGTTCGCTGACGGACCTTGTAGCCTTTCTCCTTCAGGACGTCAGAAGTTTGCACCGTACGCATACGAGTCGATGTCCAAACGGTGAGTGGCGGCAGAGGCACATCTGGACCCCCTTCCTCAATGGTTGTCAGGCGTTCCTGCTCTCGATGCTTCAAAAGAGCCTCGGACATTTTTTGGGCATAATCTCTCCCCTCTTGGGACAGAGGGGCATCGGCCTTATAAGAGTCTTCTTCTGCTGTGGTACCAGCCCGGGCAAAGAAGGTCTTCCGTGACTTGATATGCAGGTTGGTGAGGTAGAAGACGATTCGGTGGGCAAGATAATTGAAGCTGACGTTGTTGTAGAAGAACTTCTCCCCGGCGTTGATCATCTTGATGTAGTTCAGCTCCTTCTCATTCATGGTTTCAAATACGGGAATCTTCATCTCAATTCTCTGAAGGTATAGCTTAGCGGCTTCATCAGGTTCCATACCAGCGAACTGCAGTCAACATTCACCATTAGTTGTAGTTGGTTCAGTGAGATGGTATGTACTCACGTCTGGGGACGAGATCTTGACATTTCTCGCATTCTCACGAAGGATGCGTTCATCATCGACAAATGACTCGATGAAAAGAGTCTGCTGCGTCAGCGATTTCCGAGACCCGACAAGATGGGTGGTGACTTACTTGAACATCGTGCTTCGCAAATTCCTTGGCCAGCGAACGCCGTCCATTGGCAGTAGGGTTCACTGCATCGTAAATGGCGACTTGCCCATTGTCGTGATTCAGCCAGGAGTAAATGTCCTCACGGCATTTCTTCAGGATTTTCTGGCGCAGAATGACAGAGGCAGGCGACGCGTTGGGGAAGAAATAGTCATCGGGAATAGATCCATCAGGACCAACAGTTGCTCGACGGTAGTCGCCGAGGTGAAAGATACGAGACTTCACTCCAAGCCATCCTAAATAACGTGCCATGGAAACACATATGTGTCTGAAAGGCTGTTAACTCAGACCAGTCACAGAATCATAAAACCTACGTTTTCCCACGTGCAGGCGGTCCAACCATGACAATTGCAATGCGGCCAGAGTGAAACAATCGGCCAGACATGGTACTGTAGAGCTGAGCCGGGGCCAAGTCTTGACCATGAGGAATGTCATGAATGGCATCAATAAATGTAGAGCTCTTGCGACGGTACCGAGGGGCATTGGCCGCAATCTCGGCGGTTCTGTCAACATCAGCTTCATCGCTATGACAACTAAGATCAAAATATATCTGTATTTAGAGAAGGTTCGAAGAAAGACGGGGGTCGACATAAAGCTACGCTCCAAATCACAAGGTTCCGTGATTCTAGGAATGAAGATGGTACCGACTCAAAGTTGAAAGATAAGGAAATTATCTAGATACAGGGAGGGACGAGTGAAGGCAAGAGATGAGCAAGGATAGCAACGTACAGAAGAGTATCCATCTTGTCTCTCGTCGGCGATGCGTATGCAAGATGCTTGTATGGCAAAGATTTTTGAGAGGAAGGCCGTATTCGAGAAACTGAAGACTCCGAGGCTCAGCCAAAACTACGGTTGGCGGTAACTTGGGAGTATAGAGACTCTTCAGGCTATCGTTGGGTTCAGATAAACACAGTCCTACTGGCGGTAGAGCGAGAAAAAGAGGACTACCGCGCCCTATTTCTGGCGAAGCCCTCAACAGCCTCGATCGTTGAGTGCGATGGATCTTCAACAAGGGTGAGTGAGCCTCAAGAAACAGTTAGTGGCAGAAGCCGGTCTTTGCCGGCGGGGTCAATATTTCAAAGCGAACAGGCCGGTCGTCTGATATGCTACTATGATGGAGCCTTGGGCTGATCAAAAGGAAGTTTCGTATTTGGACTGAACAAGAGAGAGACAACTTAAGTGAACATTGGGAACGAGGAGCTGAGAGTAGTAATTGGTTGGTGTTGAAGAATAGTAGGTACAGTTATGCCACAGGAGGGGAGTTGGAGATCAGGTGCAGGTACTCTTCAAGGTATCTATACCCACAAGGAGGGGACATCATATCTCAGATATGCGTTGAAAGTTAGTGCAGGCGAACCCTAAATCCATGAGATAAAGCCGCCGGGAAGTATACAGTACCTTGCTCTACCAGAACACAGCCGCTTCCGGCGCAGCCTACCGGATTTACAGTAAACAGCTGGGACGGATTTGTACTTTCCACCCCCATCCCCAGCTGTAGGGTATCCTCGTGCCTCGGGCTGTACGAGCCACAATCTCTCGGGATGGACAGTTGGAAAGCGCCAGCGCCACAGCCGACTCGGCATCATAGGTGGCTCGTGCTCCCCACCCAAGAGCTGTCCAAGCCAGATGAAAATTATTCTCCATCTCCATCCAACTGCGCTCGTCATCACGATCCTGGCGTTCAGAGAGAGGCCTCGGCATTCAATCGCTTTCGAGGGTATTTTGATAAATCCTTCTATTTCACTAATTTCGCATCACCGAATTTCGTTCCGGCTGGTTGATCGTCCACCGTCGCTGTCCACTATCTCTTTGTTCGCACCTCTTCCGACCTCTTCCCGTCCTCGCTTCGGCGCACCTCAGTCACGATGGCCTCCGCAGCCGCATTGGATCCCGTTAAGACGGCACTGCTTTCCAATCCCATCGCTAGCGTTTTAGGAGATGCCCTCAACTCATTCAATGAGCGAAGGGCCAAATTAGGCCTCTCCAACCCAGGAACTATCGAGAGTCTGGCCAAGGAGGTTCAGCGCGATGTATTCCTCAACAATTATATGTTCACCGGAATGCGTGCCGATCTCACCAAGATCTTCAGCATGGCCCCTCTCTTCCAGGTTTCCCACCAATTCGCCATGGGAGAGCGCATTAACCCCTACACATTTGCTGCGATGTACGGAACAGGCAAGGTAGCTACCATGAGCCATGATGTTTTCGTATAGCAGGTTGCTGATCCATCGACAGGTCTTCTGCCAAGGCAATATGGATAACGAGGGTTCTCTCTCCGGTCGATTCAACTGGAGATGGTCCGACAAATTTGTTTCCAAGTCTCAGCTCTCCATTTCTCCTGGTGGTCAGGATATGGCGCAGTTCGAGCACGAGTATACTGGCAACGATTTCAGCGCATCCCTGAAGATGCTGAACCCTTCTTACCTTGAGGGTGGTGTGACTGGCATCTATATTGGAAGCTACCTCCAGTCTGTTACTCCTAAGCTTGCCCTGGGTCTTGAAACTCTCTGGCAGCGACCTGCTCTCGCCCAAGGCCCCGAGTGCGCTGTCTCCTATGCTGCCCGGTACAAGTCCGCAGACTGGATCGCTACCGCTCAGCTCCAAGCTGCTATGGGCACCCTCAGCACCTCTTACTGGCGACGACTCTCGGACAAGGTTCAGGCCGGTGTTGATTTGAGCCTCGGTCTCGTTCCCTCTGCCGGCGGCCTCATGGGCGGTGGCCTTCAGAAGGAGGGCGTCACCACCATTGGTGCCAAGTATGATTTCCGCATGTCTACGTTCCGAGCTCAGGTGGACTCCAAGGGCAAGCTTAGCTGCGTTCTGGAAAAGCGTGTCGCACCGCCCGTGATGATGACATTTGCTGCTGATATTGATCACTTCACGGTTTGTGCCCTCATCCCCATCTATTCGACGATGTACTGACAACTACTCCAGCATCAAGCTAAGATTGGGTTGGGTGTCTCCATTGAGGCAGCCCCTGAGGAGCTCCAAGAACAACAGGAGTCTCTTGGCTCCCAGCCTCCCCCTAACATTCCCTTTTAAGCCCCGAGCTTAAACTCCTCGAAAATCCGCGACGACGCGGCACTCCCCGCTCAAATGAGTGATATATCTTAATGATCGCTCAACTGTGAGCAGGCCAGGACGAAGTTTCGACCTCACCTCAAACCCTTCTCACCACACTCGATGTCTTATTAGTCGTCCGTTTCGTCTCTGGTGATATCATGACTTCTGAACCCGAGGGAGACCTCGTGCTTATGTGGCCTGGCCAGCATTAGGTCCCGGTCCAACTCCTATGTGCTTGGAAGTTAGGTATCTGTGTATATTATTGTCGTGGACTTGCATCGTCCTGGTCATGTGTATGAATTTCCTGTAACGCACATTACGGAGGGACGAAAAGTCGATCATCGCACTGTTATTGTTTTTAAATAGTTTTGAACGAACTCTTCATCTCGGCGCTCATGGCGGCTGCGGTTGTTTTAGTTCGACGTGTTGATGGGTCTGGATGAGCTGGTGAATATCAGGGCAAGCTACGAAGAGATGGCCTCCCTGCTCATGTATATGTGTACAAGGAAATAGACAAACTTGAAGCTACGTCTTTCGTCTTCTCATGGGGGTGTAAGCGAGAAATGGTCGCGAATTGGTTTGACTCATTTTCGCACAATGTCCTTCCGCACCGATGGTAGACGTTATCACGGAATATTTTGTCACATGAAAGCACTTTAAGGCTTTCTCGCCTCTGGCGTGCGGTATTGTCCTCAATTCTTCTGTCTCATTATCTCATACTCGCGTGTATCATGTTCAAAGTACCCCCGAAGCTTCGAAAGTTAGCCTTGTGACAAAAAATGCCACAACCGCCCAAAAACGCCTTGCTAATTACCAAAGTTCTGTTCACTTTTTCATTTGAGAGACCAATACGGGGGGGAAAAAGAGGTCCTCATAGGGTACCAATATCACAAGACCATCTCTGCGTAGCCTGCTGTCCAACGTCATACTAATAACAAAGTCGCTGTGTTACCCCATCCCTCTTCATCTGTTTAAACCCGTGCCAGTTCCTCCTTGTAAATCAAGACTCCCATAGCTATGCATGTCTAAACATCAGAACGGCCGTAAGTATGTGAAGTATAATCTAATTGCATTCTTTCTCTCGTAACGTGGTTATCGGAACGACGTAGCAGGATGACTGTTACATCACTGTGCATTCTCGTTCAGGTTGGTCGCCGCTCTTTTGCTTAACTTTGTCTTTGGACTTGACCCTCTTATGTCCATGTTTATGGCCATGGTGACGATGGTGGTGCTGTTCGGGTTCTGGTTCGGCCAGTTGCTCTGTCCCATCCACGGCATCCTTTGATTCCTTCGACTCTTTAGATATCTCTGCCGTCAAGACACCGGTGGAGTTGGCAGAAGACATGCCAATGCCATTGGGTTCATCTTTGGGCTCCGCCAAGGGCTCTTTGCTAGGCCGCATGAGACCGCCCAGTCGGCTCATCGAGAAACTAATGCGATTTTCTCCATTTTGGCTACTGGGCCGACTTCTGTTAACCAATGTGAATCTAGATGCTGCGCGTGACAACCTCGATGCTGTCGATTCTTCGTTAGGCGTAACAGCTGGAGAGTGGGAGTTGGGGGTATGTATGGTCGAATCCGTCCAAACAGCGCTGGGGCGCCGCGAGTCCCCAGCTAGAGATCCTGGGTTTCGGTCGATATCTTCGCTTCTTCTGGGCCTTTCGCCGTCCATAGATAGGCGAATACTTGGTGGTTTACTAGACAAAAGTTGTGAGTTCTCCAAGGTTGGTGTACTATCAAAATAGCCTCCCTCCAGACTACCCAATCGGTTGCTTTGTGAAGGAGTAGGAGGCAACTCAATGCTGATTTTCGAATCGTTGTAGGAAGGCGGTTCTGTCTCTGTCTCGTCCACAGATGGAGGCGAGACTTCGACCATCGGCATGATCTGATAGAACAGAAGATAAGGCATTTCCTCCTTCAATGCTGACCTGATATCTTCCACATAACTGACTCGATTTTCGATCTGGAGGTCATCGAATTTTACCCATTGTGCTTCCTCGTAATCCGGTGGTGGGTCGAAATTATGCCGTCTATTGTCTTTCAATAACTTAGGGGCCACTCGGGCGAACGAAACATAATGGCCACTTTGTAGTGAGTCGCCCCGGTGGCAGATGACGGACTGTAGGACGAGCTTATAGTCCGTGTTAAGAACGTTCATATCTTCCTCGGCCTTGGGTTCATCGGCTAGCATGAAATGGGGTAGTCTCAGACTATCGGGAATGTCGATAAAGGTATTGTGACGTTTCGGCTGCCCGGACTCAGTCATAGCGTAACGTTTGAGACAGATGCCAACAACAGGTCTTTGCTCAAAGTTCAATGCGACCTCCGTATTATTCCTGGGCTCACTGCTTGAAAGCGCATGCCAAGCTGAACTCGATATTAATATCCATATTGGACTCAATGAGGTGGCATAAACTTACGAATTAGACGGAAAAACTGCCAGGCAGGAATAGTAACTGCCTTCACAACTGTCGAGCCTTTCCTCATAGCCTTTTGAAGCATTGTGACATTGTCTGGGGTAGAGGGGCGACCGTCTTCATCCAATACTACGCGCTGGATGACGCTGGTAGACCTCGTTCGCATGCTTGGCTTGTTCTTCACTATTTCCACAGTCGTGACCTCTCCCTCTCCTTCATCATCAGGAGCATTTCCGTCCTTGACATTGGGATCTGCCAGCAGAAGAGAAACTCCCTTCTCCGAAGTTGGCGTTATCTCCAACGGTGTATTTACCAAGGGGGACGTTGGTGTTGATGCTTCGCCGCGTTCTTCAGTGATGATGCGAATTGTATCCCTATGCTTAAGTGTTGGTGTCTCACTTCGACTCTTCTCTTCTACCCCGAGCTTCTTCCCGTCTTCGCTATCTCGCTTAACGTCTACCTGGGCGTTGAAGTATTCCTCGAGGCAGTCTTCTAATTTCAGACCCTTCTCCTCAGGATCTGGAGGCACAGCCAGATTCAGAAGACGCTCATAAACAACCTTGTGGTCATCCTTGTCCTTCTTGCCTTGGTGGAAGAGATCGACTTGCAGTGAAAGTAGAGGGAGCTGTAAGGTTTCTGTTATGAAAGCAAAAGCCTCCGAGGTGTCTTGCTGCTCAAGCATCCGTGCATCCGACCATCCACAGTCAGCCAGAGCGTCCTGTATCAGCTTGGTCTGTTCAAATGTCAGTTTGAGCATCACTGAGATTGCATCTAAGCAACTCACCATATCCGTATGCACTAATTTCCCCGTCCTCAACATGTTAACCCACATCCGCAAAAGATTGACAAGTTTGTTGCGATTGTCTTCCTCTGGGAAATCATTTTTGAGCATACACTCGAAAGCATCGATTTTAGCAAACATTGAGAACAGAAGTGCATCGAGATAGCAAGTCACGTTGCCACGGTTTTCGGCACCCACCATATCCACGCTGGGATCGTATGGGGTTATGATGCCCGCTGCAGCCTTTTGCTCCATATCGATGAACTCGACTGTCTTCTTGGGGTCGTGGTCTGCAAACTTGGTTGCCATGATGTCGGTAACATGGTCGGCGGTGACATTGGTTATGTTGAGCTCGTCTAGGCGGCGTAAAATGTCCTCGATCTAATAGAAGGCAAAGTTAATGACACGATCCTTCATGCCGTGATTCGAATCGTACTTGTGCGGTATCCTTCTCTTTCTCTGCTTCTGCTTTCGCTCCTTGTTTTGCGCTGTCGTTTTTGAACAAGGCCATGAAAGCCCCAGCGGAGAGTGGTCGAGGCTGGACAGCTGCTCGTCAGAATATTCCATCTTGGACTATAACAAGCTCGCTGCTGGATGCAGTTCCATAGATCGCTCAACAAAGAATTCCAATTCAGGCAATAACGTACCTTGTTTTTGTTGCTAGTGCTGTCAACAACCGTTGGGACAACTGGCGTTGGTGTGGCCGACTTAGATCGCCGGCCATTCTTTTCGCGCTTGCTGAGAAACTTTCTTGGGAACTCCTTCATGGTGTTTGAATAGCAAGGAAGAGACGAGTATATCGATCGAAAGTAGGAGAGGGACTCGTCAGATTCAACGAGGGAGAAACAAGCCACAACTCTTCATTATCGGGGGCGCATCCGTTGTTTGGAAAGGGTCGGGAAGTGGCTCGAGTGCGACGCGCGCGAGGGGTGAGATGGAACTGTTTGGTTCACGGCTTTCAAGTGTTCGACGAGCGAGGAAATCGATGGAGGAATCAAACACGAAGCAAGTTTCTCAAGCTTTAAGAAGAGAGAGGAATTTTCAGATAGTAGGAGCAAAAGAAAAAGCGAGGAAGCTGAAAGGCATCCTTCAGTTGGAGGGACCTGTGTACTTGAAAAAAAAGGCCGAGACTGAGGGATCAGCAAGGCAAGTCGGGCGTCGGAGCGCAAGTCTCAATGGCCGAACAGCCCACGGGAGCGCTTGTTGAGGGGCTAGAGGGGGGTGACCTGGAGGTTATCGTACTAAAATAGAAGGATAGGCACCTAGGTTGATAGTGGCGGGGGTGGGACAGCCTCTGAGGTAAGGTTTAAGGTAACAACAGTTGCAGGACCCCTGTGCCCTGTCAATCCTGTCACTCCCGTCGGTAAGGTACTCACTCAGTAGTAACGACGTTTACTTTTTCTTCTTTGTCTTCCTTCCATGCCTTTTGTCTATGGAACAAAAAAGTGGGCAAAGGAGTTTGCAGCTATGTATTATTCAACTGCCTCGAACAAACTACCTATGCCTACAGGTACACGTCAACATCACACTTCATTGGCTAGTGTGACCGGTTCAACGGCGCTGATATCCTTTCTTTTATTCCATTCCAGGCCGGTAATCCATGGAGCCGATCCTAGCCAATTTCCGCGCAACAACAAGGACAAAATCGGCGGCCTTGCAGGGCGAGCTAAACCAACGAGGAAGTTGGACAAATGTTATGAAAAAGTCAAGTGATCTGTGAATTACTGAAGCCTGGTCAACTCAGCTCTAACATACACACGCGTTATCATGTGTGATGGAAGACTCGTCTTTGCATCAGCTCCCCTTCTCCTCATGGACCCTATTTTGGCCACGGCATCATTGTACATGTGGTAATAGCTCTGAAAAGGAGGCACTCTGTATTATTTAGTGGCTTTGCACTGCTCTCATCACGATCATCATCATCTTACTGCACTTCGTCACACCATCAGGGCTCTTCTGTAATCCGCCTGGCTCTTAGACTTGAGGCTGCTCACATCAGGGCTATAGGCACAACAGAACTGGTGACACGAGAAAAAGCGGACTATGCAGGCGTGTGAGTATGTCAGGCATAGCTAGTAAATAGGTAGACGCACTCGATCGATCGAAATGGGATCTGTAATTCGTACCTGAATACGTACGCAATTACCTAGGTTTGTGCCAAATAACCGTAAGTCCTTCTAAAACCGAAGGCTCTTCAGTCTGGTGTTGCATATTAATAGCCGCAACAAGACGAGTTCTGGCTTGGGGAGCCTGATCTAGGCATTGCCTGTGAATCTGTTGGATCATGACGTGTAGACCCTCAAAGATTGTTAGACCGCTCCTCTGGACAGCTACTACAGTAGTTAGATCGACCGCTGTGTCGGATGTCAACTACCCCATGTTTGTCCGACAACGTATGGTTGTTGATGTCTTCGGGCCGGCCGTTGAAAACCTGGTCCGTTGGGAAAGCCACTGGCTACCCTACCTCCTACATACCTGTATCTGAACTCGGTCGCCAGATTGGTCTTGCTCTAAAGAAGGATGGAGATAGACCGGGTCGACGGGCCCACGGACATCCCGCGTCCAGCTTTTCGGGTCCGCTCCATATTTTGAGGCATCTTGAGTCTTGTATGAAACATTGAAGTGCGTCGGACTGTTGCATAGTCCGAGACCGATAAACGTTGGTGGAAAAGGGAAAAAGACTCGGGCAAAGCGATATCGTCCATTTTCTCAAGAACAAGACTATTGGTGGCTTCGTAATTATGCTCTCTTGAACTACTGGGACGCAACCTGTTTTTTTAGATCTGAGTAATGGAGGGGCGATCGGAGTGCTTCGGAAGTGGTGAGATGCTTTTACTAAGTCATCAGACAATGAAAGCTAGCTCAAAGAGAGAAGGCTGAATTGTCAAATTTGCATAGTGTCCAGAGTAAGATACTTTAGATGGAAATGTCTTTTTATTCTTTTTCTTTAAAACACACTTGTGCGGGGAAATGGGAATTGATAGAGAAGATGTTGACAATGAAATCCATAAAATTGCAACTCTGGCCACAGATCTTTACTCAAGTAGTGACATGACGCTTTCGGTCAAGACAAGGGGAATCAAAAGGAATAAGTTTCGGTCCAGTAATGAGAGTTATCACAAGTCTTAAGCATGATTTTACTTACCTTACCCAGGTATTCTTCAAACGATATACCTACTATACCTAGGCACCATGTAAGAGCACAGCCACAATTTCAGATAGATGCAGCACGTGGCGCAGTCGGGCGCTAGCCGCTTAGATGGAAATTTCCAAATCCACGCGACAACCACACATCTTTTCGACGACGAGGAATTTCACCCACGAGCCCAGGATGACCACGGTACGAGAAGGAGCTCGCATGGCGAGCTCATTGGGACGGAGGCATCTGCCTTTGAGGACAGGTTCCGTTTGTGTGCAGCGCTTTGCCTCGACCGAGACAAAGAAGTCCTCCGCTCTCGCAGATCTCGACAATGCTTCGTCTTTTGCGACAGGTTCTCCTGACGCAGCGGCTATCCAGGCCTTCAATTCTAGAGAAAAAGCTGCAGAGACGGGGAAAAAACTTCCCGGCAATAGGTCCGTAGCCCAATTGCTCCCTTTCGACTAAGTTCGAGCTGATTGACTTGTGATAGATACCAATACCATCCTCCCAAGTACTACCGTGGTCCTCTACACCCCGTTCAGGTGCCCAAGTCCTCCGATCCGACAGCTCGAGACTTCGTCCCCGGTCCTTTCAGCTTTCCTCGATTAAAGCACACATACGAAAGCACGATTGCGCCAGATCTGATCGCTATGACATATCAGCATACCCCGCCAGGTTCAGAAGTTCCTGTTTCCAACAAGGGTAACTTGAGAGAATGGGACGAGTCTTCGCCTTACCACAAGAACCGACCTCGCCGAGGACCTCGAGGTGGCGGCTCTTCAAGGCTAGGCTTAGTCGAGCGCCCAATTGAATGGCACAACGTACCTGATATCGAGGCTATCACTATCAACTCATTCGCTCCCATGGGCGCCCAGAACAAGGAGTACTTGCACGTGTGCCGTGCTGTTATCCAAGCCATCTCTGGTGCCTTCCCTGAGGTCACACGAGTCAAGCATGGTGTCGTTCAGTGGGGTGTCAGAAAGGGTGACAAGACTGGCTGCAAAGTGACGCTTAAAGGTGCTCAAGCTTACGACTTTCTTGATAAGCTCATTACTCTGGTCCTGCCTAAGATCAAGGACTGGCCTGGTATTGATGCTACTACTGGCGATAGTGCAGGCAACCTGGCGTTCGGTATGAAGCCTGACTGGATGGCATACTTTCCTGAAATCGAGTTCAACTACGACGTGAGTCTGCTTATGCACTAATCAACACATGGCGAGCTAATTATGAGTAGATGTACCCTGCACGACTGATGCCTGGATGCGATATATTCATCAAGACGACTGGTACATCAGATAGGCAAGGTCGTCTTCTTTTGGAGGCACTCGGCCTTCCCTTCTATGGCAAAGCTAGGCACTAAATTACGATAGAAGGTGTCGTCGTAAGGCGTTGGAAACAAATGTCAACTCTAAGTAGCTGATATGTAGCATAGATTATGTACCAAGACGAATGTATCATAAATGAATATTTAAAATCCAGGGCGTATTGCCTATACCATTCTGTTTTAGTACCCTGGGTTCTCCATCTCTCTTGACCACAAGCTCTTTACTTCAGTCCAACGCCCCAACTCCGTCCCAATGCAGCCGTTCGTTATGAGTTGATGTTTGATCCCAAAAAAGTTTCTCAAGCCTTGCCGATTTTCTCGCGTAATCCGTTGACCACCTCGTCGACAGCCTCCATGCTTGTGGCATCGACCTTGTCAGTCTTGTGACCCCTCTTGGTCATTTCATCGGCAAAGAGGTCCATCGCTGGTTGATAGTTGCGCACCGCTGAGCTCAGCGCATATACGGCCTTGCGACGAACGTCGTTATGCTCATCCTCCTGGGTCGCTAGGTTTACAAGGAGTGGAAGCCCCCCCATAGCGAGCAGACGCTCCTGGGTGCGCTCGTTGTTCTGTACAGCGGTGCCCACACACCAGGCCGCCATCTTGCGCATCTCTCGCTCGTCATGCTTGAGCTGGTCGAGTAGTGGGGTCCACAGGCTGAGATTTGCGATATTGTTTGCATTGTCGAGACCCTCAATAAGCTGCTCAAAGTTGTCAAAGGCGATGAGTTTATCGTCAAGAGAGACCTGCTCAGCATCGTCCGATGTGATAATGTCCATAGAGGCCTTCATCAGGTCGGCGTCAGAAGGACCGCCCATGAGCGATGCCATGAGTTCTGGTGTGAGCTGTGTGGTGGGAGCTGGGGCATCAGGGTCATTTCTGGTAGCGTCTGATTGCTCGATACTCCATTTAAGGAGTTCGTTGAGTCGCTTGTCATCCATGTTTTCTTGTTTTTGAGTACCTTTCTTGATATGTTGTTTGAGCTGAGTGTGTTGAAAGAGTAAGAACAAAAAACGTTAATCTTTTGATATTGGCTTTCAATTTTCAACTTGACCAAGCATATCGATTAGAATTTGCCCAATTCTGGAATCTTCAAGAAGACTCTAGTCCCAAAGAGGTCTAGCTCAAGAGATGTTTACAGAATGCTGATTCTCTGTCAACCGGCCAATTGTTTTCTCGTAGTTCGATAAGGATACATTGCAGCCCAATGAGTGCCTTATGATGACCTGTACATGTTTTTGGGTCAAAGAGAATAGTAGTACTAAGCTTCTGCTGGGGATAGACACCGCAATTCAACTGACAGCAGTTCTACGTGGCAGAGAAATATTTCATCATAGCTCCCCTCCAGCTCAGCAAAGCTGCCCCACCTTGCAAGGTTGCCCCTCATCGCTGCTTTTGTGGCCGAGACGGGAGAACGAGCTTAAAGCGAGAGCGAAAAAGCCTAAGAAAGGATTTTGTACGATACCACGCCAAACAGCATGATTTACCAGAAGGCATTGTGGCTGGTTGAGACGACGCGCGTGTATTGCGTTGCATGACACTTGCAGAAGCCTGGCCGCAAGGCTACCATAACACTGAAGTCTAAAGTCGCATGTTCGAACTAATGGAGCCTAGTCAGTGGACGCATTTCGCATCTTCGAGAGGCGCCGGAGATCCCGCTGTTCATAGGTAAGTAAGCGAAGGCATTCATTCTCACAGCCTGGTTACTGGCAGACTGCTCCTGCTGGTGGGGTTCCCCGGCTGGGCTGGGCAGGGGCCAGATACAGGGGTCTCATTCAGAGTTTAGGAGATCTATCGACTGTGAAGCCAATATTTGACAGCCTCGTGGTTCAGGGGTGCTCATAGAGCGGTGTTGAAGTTAGGCTGCCAATATGAACGAACTACACTCACGACGGCGAACAAGATATACTCTATAGAGCACAAACTCGTCTCTCAAGACATAGTACACGCTCAGCACCACAACTTGGCTTGGCGAAGAAGTCTCTATAGTGAAGCAGGTGATACAGCTGCGTAATATCGAGGCGGTTCTCGCTCCCAACCACAAGTCCCTACTTGCCCAGTTCAGACCAGTCGGAATGAACGGGCGAGTGCTGTCTCTTCAGTAAACGAAACAGGCCCTAATGCGTATTTGGTATAGTTGGTCAGCGAGAGACTTCTTCATACAAAAGCTCTCTCCGCGTAACTCTGCCCTGAACGAGTATGTACCTGCTCGATTAGCCACTTGTGCTAATTATGGAGTGGAACTCGGGAGCTGGAAGCTGGGTACCGGTTCCAATCTGCGGAGCATCTGGAGATTTGGCATGAGATAACAACCCCTTTTCAGTCACTAAACCCAAGTGCTCGGAAGTGTTGTAATGGTTGTTGGTCGTTCTGAATGATGAGACCCTGCAGTGTAGGAAGCAAATAGACATTCCGCTTACGGATTAACCTCAGCCAGGAATGAAGATTGGACATCATCTTGTGGCTGGGGCTGACCTGAATAGGAGCTATTTGCGTACAGTAGAGTTTCTCGATGATCCAAAGATGCCTAGAGCTGGTATGTTGTTTACAAAGTCATTGATGTTTAGTAGAGTGCCACTCTGAAGAACGAGCCATCAGCTGAAACGCTCACATACTTTGCCAAGAGAAATAAAAGGAAGCCTCAGAGGCTGCAGCATTAGAAAGTTCCCTAGCTGACGTCTTCGCCAGCTCGCGTGGCGGTGGATGAAGTTCTGCTTACGACGTCACCTTGTGCAGAAAGGATAAAGTCAGGACGGTGAAGCGGCCCGTTTTACTGTGTCGGGACCTACTTGCAAATATCTAAGTTATAAGTTTGACAGAAAATCACTACCTGATCCGAAGGAATCCCTAGATTAGTATTCTGGCCTTGAATCACGATACTTGCCTCGTTATCAATTCTCCTAGGAATTGGCGATCACGAACAACTATTGGATTACTTTTGGAGCCCAGGTAAGCTCTCCACCTCAGCCACCGCTATAACCATTGTGCCATTCCACTGCGACCGCTGCTCTGCAACCACTGGGACAAAGTTGCTCTCAGGGCATCCTTCTCTGCACTACGACCACCACGAGCCAATCACTAAAGCGGCGAGCAGCTTGGAAAGACCTGTTTTTCTGGTTGCCCCGCCTCTATTTCCCCCCTAGCAGTCAACAGCAAGTGTGCAGCTCTCGCTCCTGCTCTAGACTGTGCCTCGTCTGCTCAGTTTCCCTACCCAGTTCTGGTAGGCGGTCTCTTCAGGTTGCCCCCCCTTGTCCCCAAAGTGTCCACCTCAGCAATTCGGGGCCCGCCCACAACTTTCTTGTGACAGCGTCGCCCGGCGATACTTGTCTCCTTTCCCCCTCCCCCATTCTCCCGCCTCCGTCTCTTTCCCTCTCCCATTCCATTCCAAACTACTTCTCTTCAACTCTTCTGACCCCCGACCTCCGTCTCCTTCTCCATTCAACGTCTCTTTTCCTGTAAGCTTGCTCTTCCACCTCCTGATTACTACATCTTTCGTCTCTCTTCTTCAATAGCTCTTCGTCTTTTCTTCTTTGATTCTTGGCCGCTAATCCCGTTTCTGGACAGCTTTCTCATACACACACCGTAATCCACAGCCATGGAGGGTACGTCGCATCATACCGCGTCGCTGCATTGTCGGATCCAAACAATCCGTTTTGAGCATCGCGAAGATCATCTCCAGACTCATGCTGATTTGCATTTCGCTTTATAGAAGAAGTTGCTGCTCTCGTTATCGACAATGGGTAAGCTCCCCCGCCTGTCTCACCGACCTCTGGACTATCTCTCCCCGCCTCTCTGCTCCTGGACCAGATCTGCCACCGCATCGTCCGATGCCCGACACCGGCTTCGACATTGATGCTTGGGAGTGTTTGGTCTCTGAATTGGTGCAGAGCGATCTCAGCATGTTCATGATAGCTAACTCGATATCAGTTCGGGTATGTGCAAGGCCGGTTTCGCCGGTGATGATGCTCCCCGAGCTGTTTTCCGTGAGTACCCCACTTTCTAGCCTCTGCGCCCAAAGAATTGATATCGCATGTCCTGGGCGCAGGTTAATCAAAAACCCAATTCTAACGTGATAACCAGCTTCCATTGTCGGTCGCCCCCGTCATCATGGGTAAGTTGTAGCTACAGCGGCAATTCTGCCGCCCCCTTGGTGGCTGGCCACTGACGAGTTCTCAGTATCATGATTGGTATGGGTCAGAAGGACTCGTATGTTGGTGATGAGGCTCAGTCCAAGCGTGGTATCCTCACCCTGCGATACCCCATTGAGCACGGTGTTGTCACCAACTGGGACGACATGGAGAAGATTTGGCACCACACCTTCTACAACGAGCTGCGTGTCGCCCCCGAGGAGCACCCCGTCCTGCTCACCGAGGCTCCCATCAACCCCAAGTCCAACCGTGAGAAGATGACCCAGATTGTCTTCGAGACATTTAACGCCCCAGCTTTCTACGTCTCTATCCAGGCCGTTCTGTCTCTGTACGCCTCCGGTCGTACCACTGGTATCGTTCTGGACTCTGGTGATGGTGTCACTCACGTTGTCCCCATTTACGAGGGTTTCGCCCTTCCCCACGCCATTGCCCGTGTCGACATGGCTGGTCGTGATCTTACCGACTACCTCATGAAGATTCTTGCTGAGCGCGGTTACACTTTCTCCACCACCGCCGAGCGAGAAATCGTCCGTGACATCAAGGAGAAGCTTTGCTACGTCGCCCTCGACTTCGAGCAGGAGATCCAGACTGCCGCCCAGAGCTCCAGCCTGGAGAAGTCCTACGAGCTTCCCGATGGACAGGTCATTACTATTGGTAACGAGCGATTCCGTGCTCCTGAGGCTCTCTTCCAGCCTTCCGTCCTTGGTCTTGAGAGCGGTGGTATCCACGTCACCACCTTCAACTCCATCATGAAGTGTGATGTCGATGTCCGAAAGGATCTCTACGGCAACATTGTCATGGTAAGTTTCGTAAGAATGAGATGTCCGAATTTTTCTAACTTTAATTCAGTCTGGTGGTACCACCATGTACCCTGGTCTCTCCGACCGTATGCAGAAGGAGATCACTGCCCTTGCTCCTTCTTCCATGAAGGTCAAGATCATTGCTCCTCCCGAGCGAAAGTACTCCGTCTGGATCGGTGGTTCCATTCTTGCTTCCCTGTCCACCTTCCAGCAAATGTGGATCTCCAAGCAGGAGTACGACGAGAGCGGTCCCTCAATCGTTCACCGCAAGTGCTTCTAAGGTATGTCAAGCTCCCGGTGATCAGGGAGGCTTCTCGCTAACTTTAATAAGCTACCCGACCGACAAACCAAATCCTCCCACTCGCGCAACGACGACAGGATCATGGAGGTGGCGACAGACGCTAAGCTTTGGGTGGTTGGCAAACGTCAAAGTCGACTCTCATATTTACGAAAAGTTTTTGACATGGTCAGAAGGGTGGGCGTTGCGCTTACGAAGAGATGTGATAGCCCCTTTGTTGTAGTTGCGCGTGTAATGCGTGCCTAGGGGTAGAAGCCGAGGTTGACATACAAATACTTTTTTACTTTCCGCTTAGAATTTTTTGAAATGAAACGAGGTGATGACACGATGTCTGGTCCCTTGCGTACATTAAGTATATCCACATACATGATATCGTAATTGATTCCTCACCATTTCTTCCATAGAGTATTGATCACGGCGCTTTACTTGTGGTGTCTAGGGGTTGAGAAGTCTGGAAATTGTTTGCGTCGTCCATGGTTGGGTCACTTCCCTCTGCTGAAGCAGGAGCTGTGTCTGACTGCGCCCCAACTTGAGCAGCCGTGGCGGTCTTCTCTTCCTCAAGTTTCTTGTACTTCCTACGACTCTTTTTCGAAGCGCTTGCAGCTTTCTTTTGCTTTACCTTGCCGACAATAGCCGATCGACTCTGATCTCCATTGCGAAGCTCATCAACACGTTGCGCGAGTAATTCACGGGCGTGCTTCCGGTTCTGGTCTCTCGAACGGGTTGCCTGAGACTTGACGACGATGCCAGTGGGTATGTGCTTCAGCTGAACTGCGGAATTGGTTTTATTCTAGTGTAACAACTACGTAAGTTGAAAGAACTTCCGAGGATTGAGCAATAGCTGGGGTGCTAGAAAAGGGACATGCGTACAATCTTTTGTCCACCAGGACCGCTGCCTTTTACATAGGACTCTTCGATCTCAGACTCAGGTGGGGGCTTCGGTCGAGGAGGGAGAGCTTTCACCAAGGAGTTAGATGTATTGTGAAAGGTCCGTATTGGAAGTGGTGCGGGAGTGCTGCAGCGGATTGTTCGGAGGAGTTTGAACGGCGTCATCACGATGCCATTTAATGCAGAAATTCAACAAGAAATATCAGAGGCTTTGTGCCAAGGCCGTGAATTAGAGTCGTAATTCAGGTTATGAGATGAAGATTAAGCACTGGGGACAAGGCTGATTTGGGCTTCCTGTGCCACGAGGACGCCACAGTTACAACCACAAGCCACGAGCCAGTCGCATGTCAGCAGATGGTGATCCAGTAAATTAGAGACCCGCACCCCCTGTAAGTTTCAATACATTGAAGCCTTAGCACTTCCCTGTGGTGCCTCCGGTACCCAATTTTCGGGAGCGTCGGTACGATAAAGGCACAAGGAGCCCAGATAAAGGAGGGCCGGCCTTTCCCTGATCCTTATCCTGATCCTCAATTATCCATTGCCTCAACCTTTTCCCCTGAACCTACCACTTCAAGTCATTCATTTCAGCACACGGCAATTCTACGACGACGGCTACCGGTATCTCCGCTTCAACCACATATTTTGACCCTTTATTTCGACACAATGGCCGTTCTTGGATCGTTTCGCAAGTGGTTGAGCCTCAAGCAATACCAGCTGGAGGTCACTTTCAGTGTGTACATGTTCACGCCCTGGGAGAAGTTCTTTTTCAGTATGTTATCCGCAATCCCATACATTTTAGGTTGTCGTCTTTAGAAGACTAATTCACCGCCCTAGGCTCCATCGTTTTTCTGCTCTTCAGCTTGACTTTCATCGCCGCCTGTCTTTACCTCCCGCATCACATCTCTTTCCTCGTCGGTCGCGCCTGGTACTATATCAACGGAGAGCATATTGACGTTGCCGAAGTGGTGCAGGAAGCTGTTAAAGATATGTCTGCGAGCGCGCTATCCGGGACAACTGCAAGCGTCGTAGATGTTACCAAGGAGACTGTCGAGACGGTTGTGAGAGAGCTATAAAACCCAGCACTGGATCGCTCACGCAAAAATTTCTGGAAATGCATACATGCTGGACATTGACACAGAAATGGCCTCGTAGCGAAGAGGCTCTGCATAAATGAGTCGTAAGAGCCGGTCTTCGAACAAAGGTCCGTGAGAGATGGCTCGAGTTTCATCCGGTATACGATATAATGGATATGGATTTACAAAACTTTGGCCAATAGATGGCTGTAATGATAATACACTCTTACTCAGGAATCCCTATGTTATGTTAATCCCACTGCTCAGTTTGTGCAAAGATAAGCCAGTTGCTAGTCTCGAGGCGAAGGAAATTTCTGGTAACGTCGTGATCATAACTTTTGGTTCTATTGATCTGCGGTCACCTGAAGATACGCCTGGCTGAAGGCATACACTCTAAGTGAACTATCCTCTCCTGCAACTGCCAACTCAAATGGCCGCTCGGCCCCGTCTCGTACGATAGGACGCCATGCAAGCTGGTGAACAGCCTTGGGCAAACAGTAACTAGAGGCAAGGTTAGCAGTTGGTTCTTTTGCATCGCTGATTTATGAGCACTTACTCCTCATATGCGGGCTTCTCAGTAACATCAGTACCATCCTCCTTGATCAAGCAAAGGCTGAGTCGGCCAAGTTCTGTGCCAACTGCCAAGACAAATCTATCATCAATAACCTGAGGGACAAAATCGACGGATGTTACAGGGGATGCAGTCGGGATGGAGGCTGTCTGAGAGAACTGAAGTTTTCCATCTTTGTTAGGCTTGGCGGCCCAGATGCGAACTTGCTTGTCACGGCCAGCAGTTGCGAATACTGGCGCCGTAGATGACGCAGGCGCCCATGCTGCGTCAAGTACCATACGTGTGTGACCCTTGGGGTTGATCTGCAGGAGCTTGTACGCAGCCTCATCCTCAGGCGCGCGCTCAAAGACAGCCCATTGGCGATCGCGCCCTACACTCAGGAGGAACTGGTCGTCAGAAGAAAATCGAAGGCGGGTGGCTGTCAGAGAGTGTGCCGTCAGAGGCGGCCTGAGCTCCGTCCAACGATTTGTTTCGAATAGACGAATTACGGCGTGGTTGGTCGAGCTGGCTTTGCATGCACTGGCGACGAGAGTGCCATCGTGGCTAGCTGCGAGACAAGAAATCTCGTAACCATGTCCATACAGCTTCTCGGTTTCCGGCCACAAGGTATGTCTTGAGAGTGTCTCCTCGAAAGGAGGGTGATCGATCTCCAAGTGCGACTTTTTGACTATCGAGGCTGGATCCATGGCTTCACGATCCCGGTCATCAATGGGCTGAATTTCTTGGTCGTCTTCCACGGCATCAATTGCCTTGTTAGATAGTCCCAGGACGGGCATGTTGGCGGCATCGGGCATGTTCTGAACGTCCATACCACCGCCAATGCCTGCAAGACGGTTGAGCATCGAGGCAACAGCTTTGGGTTCGCTAAAGACACGCATGAGTTTCTCATCGGCCCCTGATACGAACTGAGAAGCTCCCACAGAGTCAATACAGTTGAGATCATAGCCGTGAATCTGAGGCCGGGACATTTCATGCCATGTCTCATTTCCTGGTCTGTCCCAGCGTGTATGCAGTCGTGTGGTTTGGTCAGAGCTTGTTGACAAGAGATACTCACCATTCTTGGCCCACGTTATACCTGTAACAGCTCTGGTATGCCCCGAGATAGCAACACATGGCTTCCAAAAGTCTTCCGCGGGGACATATTCCCATCGTCTCCAGCTGCCAGTGCGGCCGAGGCAGGCTACTGATTTACCATCAGGAGACCACAAGCCAGTCCAAAATCCGCCGGTGCTTCCAGTTGCTGTTGTCGCACCTTTCTCCCTGCTAATCTCACCAAGTCTCGCCATGCTGACCCAGATTCCAGAGCTAGAGTCAGCTTCCCAGATGGCGAGCGAGTTGTCGGCTGATGTCGAGAGCAGCTGTAGCTTGTCGTCGTCCTGTCGTTGCCAGCGTGCACTGTATATCCAGTCCTCGTGGCCCAAAAGAAGTGCTTCGAAAGTAACAGAGAAGTCCTTACCGGCGGACTTCAGACGATGTGCTTTGTTGGAGGGCGACTTTCCGGGAAGGTATGCGTCGCTGGAAGGGTCTGAACCACTGGCAGCAGCAGCGGGCAGCTCTCTCCCCTGATGGAATCTCCAGATACGGACGTATTTATCCTGGCTCGCTGAGGCGAGTAACAGATCACTGTCAGGGGCACATGTCTCTTTGGCGAAGCTCAAGCTCCGTATCCAACCCTCATGCCCTGTCAAAGTGGTTTGCACATTGAACTGGGCATTTTCTGACTTAGCCTCAGCTGTGAAAATCTGCACTATATCTCTTGTGCCAGCGGATGCTAGCACCAAAACATCGTCTTCATCTCCAGCGTAGCTGAGTGATAGGCACATGGGGAAGTATTTGGGTGTCGTCTTGACGCTTTGGAGTAGAGTGAGCTGATCATTCTCGAAGTTCCATATCTTTATGGAGGCGTCTGCGCTTCCGGTTGCGATAACCCATTTCTGTGCTCCCCTGATCCTTAAGGCAGCGATACAGTTGATAGCAGCAGTGTGCTCCGTTGAGGTGTGGATGGGCTTGAATTCATCACTGTTGCGAGGCGCTTTCCAGATAATCGCGGTCTTGTCGTCTGAGCCAGAAACGAGAAATGAGTTTTCGTCCTGGTCTCCTTCGGGGAGAAACGTTAAGGCCTTGACAGTGCTCTTATGCCCATTGAGTAGCTTTGTGACTCCCTTGGGAGATTCCAACTTCACATATGTTAGTATCAAAACACCTGGATAATTCGACAGAAAGAAGCGCAAGTCAGGGTATATTGACATTAAAGCAGCAAGGTGACTCAAATACTAACCAAAGGTCGCCACAACGCAATGTTAATATCGGCACCAAAAGCCAAAATCCCACATTGGCTCCAGTCCGCAACAGCGGTCTGTCGGTTGGCCCCCGAGGAGAGGTATTCGATGGAGACGGGTCCTGAGCCCATTTTGTCCCTATCTTGCCTTTGTCCGTCTCTGACGTGAAGCCGTTAGTTTTAGAGGTTGTAAGGATGAGTCTGAAAAGTGTGTGCTTCTTGACTTCTGATTGGCTGTAGAGACGTCTTGCTGAGATTTTTGGGCTGGTTGGCTTATGTCATCCGATTTACACTTGCAAGTGGCTTCAAACACCAACACAATTATAGGAAAAGCAATTAATGTCAACTGCTTCTGCCAAAGGTCACGGGTTTATTGTTACAGAGACACCAGCGAAAACATTCTCAGTCGCTATACAAACCTCTTTGTTTATTCAGTCATCTTCCTCGCGCTGCCAAACACAAAATCTGGCGTTTCCATGGTCAGAGGGTAATAATCAGCCTCTTAGACCACATCTCTTTGATAGCTTAGACACAGTTTCACTACTGCCAACCACTACCTCGGGATCACCTTTTATCCACTACTGCAAAAGCAAAGCCACGATCAGTTGACGGCAGTAGCATCAGGATCACGCTCCCAGATCGTCACTTGACCTCAACTTGCACATCTCTGTCACAATGGCTGAATCGACATCGGCCCCCAAGCTCAATATCGACGTCGAGTTCTCGTGAGTCACTTCTCTGGGATTTTCATCTTGCATGTATTATATGATCTATCAGCTCCCGCTTGCACGGTCTTGACTCAGAATCAGACTCAGACTCGAGTCCACCCCCTTCTGCGCTATCAAATTTTCTCCTGGCGGGAGTGTCCACCTGAACCACGCTTGTGCCTGGATCCTCGCTTCCAGCGAGTCTCTTCTCTGCACTCTCTTCGGTCTCTTTGCTTTTTCTTGGTCATCCTGTTCACTGAGCTAACATTGTGGCACTGCAGTGGCGGCCTGGAGATGCTCTTCTCCAACAAGAGGCAGCATGCTCTGACCATTCCCGCGGCAGACCAGGACGGGAAACCCGTTGACATTGCGTATCTGATCGATCATCTATGTCAGAATGTCATGGATGATTCTCGCAGAGATCTTTTTGTTCTAGACAACCACCTGTACGTATTGGCCACTGATTTCTCTCTACCTCCGGTCATGTCTTCGTATCGCTATTCACACTCCCTTTGACCATGGCCACGGCCGTGTTGGTTTGAACAACACTTCAATTCATCTCCTACCTCATTTGCGTGTCTTTGTTGCTAATAAGGGTGGCAATCAGTCGACCGGGTATCCTGGTTCTGATCAATGATGCAGACTGGGAGCTCGAAGGTGAGGAGGCCTATGAGATCCAGAGCGGTGACAACATCTTGTTTGTCTCAACGCTGCATGGAGGTTAGATTGATGCACTCTCCGTCCGCTTTAGGCCTCAAAACATCACCGCAAGTCGGTCAGAGGAGTACCAGTACGGCTTTTATTGAAGAATTTCTACATGCATGCACATATACATACAAATCTACGCCTTCCTACGTATGCGCACAGAAAACACAACTCCCTTGCATATCGAATTGTTGAGAAATAGGCAAGGACATGGACATGGTATGCATCGAGTGCACGCGCAGCCAAGTCCACAACAGGCCAGTCTCGGGCTGACTTCAGGTTTCGACACAGCGGGACTGATACGCGAATGTTAGTTACTTGCTCCTTTGGGTCTCACTGTCTTACCTTTGTTGTCTCCCGCCTCGTCTTGCCTGTGTATCTTGCCACTCCGATGAAACAACCGTCTTATGTGGACAATGAATGGATCATACTCGTCGCTTGCGCGTGTATCTGCGCCTACACTCCCCGTCTCAGCCAGCCCTGCAACGGCCTCTAGAACCAACGTCTCCAGTCTCTGGTCTAGGCGCATCGATCTTAGTCCCAGCAGAAACTCATCTTGCATCTAAAAGCACATACACACTACAAGGAACGTGCATTGTGTGCACAAGCAGCATCAACGGCTTTGTGGAGGCGAAAAAGGAAAACCCACTTTGAGTTGCATGCCTTGCATCTACAGTCCTCGAGATCAGGAAAGCCTCATTTCTTCGAAACTTGGAGGGAAAATGGAATGGCGGACAATGGCGACGGGCCGTGCCATTGCGACGTTATCTACGGCGGTGAAGGGAAGATCCCACCCAAAGTGCTCTGCCACATGGTTGAGATGCAGAGGTACGAAATGAGGCTTTATGTGCGTATGGACGAGAGTAGATCCATTCCCATGTGCGTTTGCTGGGCTCTTCGGAAGAGGCTGCCCTGGCTGCCCATCCAGGGGAGAGTGAGAGAAGAGAGTAGAGGCGGGGCGGTGAATTTTAGGAGGGGGGCTTGTCGATCAAAGCCAGAAAGAGAGGTATGCAGCCCTAATCTACATCAGTCTGCATTTTGTACGCATACTATACAGAGCGAGCGTTACTGTAAGTGTGAGCTATGGATGAGCCAGCTATTACTCTTTGCGATATTCGAAGTCCTTTGGATTTTGGCAGTCAGTCTGAAGAAACCGAGAAATTTCAGGTCATGACTTGTAACTGGTTCCAATAGCAAACGGCATATACATCACCATCACATGAAATCACATGGCATCTTCACCTTTCATGTCAACCCCTATAATATCGCTTGCATGCTTCCCATATTCATAGTCATTCGTTGCCTCACTTAGGTATGTATGTCCTGTTCCTGATGGACGTTTCCCCCCATCATGAGCAGTGCCTCTCTTCATATGGACAACCGTCAACTGTAAGCGAGACAACATTAGCCAGACCGTACCTGGACACTCATCACTCATCTCCAGCTGAGCCCCTGACAACTCGATCTCGGCACCAGGATCATCATCCTCCATCGAGGCCTTACAGCTCAGCTCATCTTTGTCAATTTCTCTCGGTGACTTGGGCAGCATTACGGATACAACCCCCAAGATTCCTGAGTTGGGGCATCCGTGTCTTGGTTTTACTTGTAATCCCCCGCCTTCTGGATCAGCATTCAGTGACTTAGACAATTAGACTAGAGGGTCCTTTTGAAGAATTCTGCTATCATGTGCCCCTACAATGCTTGGGTGACAGATTTACAGAACAATCGTCTTTGCCATGTACTCTTTTCCTTACTCCTTCGTGGCTGGCATGGGGGTAGTTATGGACAGAACAGTTCAGATCTATTATTCTGTTCAGGGCTGGAAAGGTCCAGAAAGACGTCGTCATCATTTGAGCCTACGATGCTAGATGCCAGCAGACATCCCCATCTCCACGGTGTTGTCTCGTACTGGTTTTTATGTTGGTTTTTCCTGTCAGTCGATATGTCTTTGATCACAGTGAAAGGCTCTCGAAATTTCTTTTAGAGATATGTTGGTTAAATTCGAATTATCTACTATCTTAACGCCAATGTCTCGATTTCGCCCCCCTGTGGCTACTTTCGACCTTTTTTTGCTCCCCTTTCATTATTTCAGATGCTGCCATCTAATTGTGAGTCTAATAACTCGAAAATCAGTGTACCAACCCTCGTAAAATGGTTTAATAACCCAGGGTATATCCATTCATACAACTCCAAAAAGCAATTGAAGCCAGTGCGTACACTCGCGTATCAAAAACCACAAAGCAAAAATGAAGAACTGATGAGGCGAAACAAACAAGAAAAGGACAAGACCTCTCTGGCGGATGAAACCGCCTTTTCCAAGACCGCCGTAAATCATGAACCAAGCCACCCGCTCCCGTACATCCTCTTACAAAGACCGCCAATTAATAAAATGATAAGCCAAGCTGTCCTTAAATGAAGGAAACCGGAGAGGCTTCTGCAGGGCTTGATGTAATTGGTATCAAAATAGCAAAAAGAGAAAAGGGCGAACCCCCTGCAACATTGTGTTCAGACAACCACCCAAAGAAAATCAACCGCTTCGTTATGGCCTCTAAAAGAGTCCGATTTTTCAACTCCTTTTAAAACACCCGCTTCTGCAAATTCTGCTTTTTTTCTCTCGAAAATGAAACCGCTGTTATGCCTCCCGTATGGTAGTACTGTTGTAAATTTTGTGAAATGAGATGCGTGACGCTGCCAAGTCAAATCCAAGTTGTGCGGGCATGATGCGAACGATGACTTCTCAGTACATGCGCCCATGGTAGCCCATCTCGCGCGTGCCACCGGTCTCATATAGCATGCCGTTGTTGTTCGGTGGCTGAAGGTGGTGATGACCGTGCATGTCATAAACTTCATAGCCACCATTGTGAGTCTGGCGAGACATGTGGTTGATAGGAGCAGGCTGACCTCGAGTCACACTGTAGGAAGCGAGGCTGCCCGATACAGGGAGTCCGTGAGGAGTCACTGGTGTTGAGGCAATTTGAGGAAGAGGATATTGGGGCACAGCTGTCATAGTGTTGGCAGGAGGAGACTGGGATGCCTTGGACTTGCGGTCAGCAACCGTGCGGGCTTTTCCTCTTCCCTTGATGCCCTTATTGCTGTTCTTGTAGTGTGTGGCGAAGTATTCGAAAAGCTCGCGATCGGCTTCGGTGACTTCCTCACCCGAGGCAATGATTTTGGCGAACTTCATTGTAAGCTTCTTGAGTGTCTTCTTGTGGAAGTTGTTTTGGTGTGTCTAACAACTAGTTAGAAAATCATGTATTTCATCAGGGATCATCAACACATACCTTCATGTTTCCGAGTTGTGAGAATGTCTTGTTACAATCGTCGAGAATGCAAACAAAGGGCTTGAGGCCTTGGTGAGTCTGTAGGTGGGCACGAAGATTGCCGCGTTGAGCAAAGTGGCGATCACACTTGTCGCAAGCAAAGGGGCGTTCGCCAGTGTGACGACGTCTGTGAGTCTTGAGGTTGCCAAGTTGAGAGAAGGTCAGGTCGCAGCCAGGAAAGTCACAGTTCTAAAGGAGTTAGTTAAAAATCATGGGCCATGGAAGTTCTCACTCACATATGGCTTAATGCCAGTGTGTGTCCTGCGATGAATGTCGAGATGGGTCTTTTGGGTGAAACTCTTCTGGCAGTTGGGGCCATCACAGCGATATCTCTTTCGAGCTGTCTTGTTGTCCACGGGACCTGGAGTTCCTTGACTTTCAAAGCTTGCTTCGGAGACAGGAGACATTCCAGGAGTGAGGGGCTGCTGCACTGTATTGACTTGCAGGTCTGCCTTGCGTTGTATGGCTTTCATCAGCTCATCAACTTCAGTTTCGAAGTTGATCTGGTCACCAGGGTTGAGAGTTTCGTTGGAGGTGATGGTCTTTGAGCACATAGATGGGTTGGTGCCCGAGGATCTGACAGTCGAGGCTTGCGAATCGCTCCGTGCCGGGGAAGGTGCTTGTTCGGCATATGTGTACTTCAGCTCCCGTGAATAAGAGGGAATTCGGCCGTGGTCGTTATCATGTCCCATAGGTCGGCGATCATTGTATTCTATTTTGAAAGGCGTTGAGTGGTGGGGAGGCGTAGGCGGGCCTTGATATCCTCCAAATTGGTAAGGATTGGGAGCCTGGTAGTGAGGTGCCGTGAGACTGTTCACTGGACCTGAACTGTACGGTGGCTGAACCATATAAGGTGCCATGACAGGTCGCTGGAGAGGACCAGTAGTGGTGGCTCGAGAGTCAAAGGGAATCATGTGTGGAGATTCCATCATGGTGTAGTCACCAGGAAGTTGTTGCGACCAGCGCCCCCAGTTGGGAGCGTCTGAAGATTGTGCTGCAAGGGCCATTTGCCAGTTCAGATCAGTCCTGCTCTCAAAGCAAGACTGATAGTTTATGTTGTTTGGACTGATTCAAACGGAGCAAGTCGAGAAAGACTTGGTGTTGGTTGAGATGATCAAGAAGGGCCGGAGCAGAGTGTATGAAGACGACAAGAGGGACCTGAACTATAATAGAAGGATAGATATGATGTAGAAAGAAGCGATTGTATAAAGATATCAGGTCCCAGGTATAGTTCTTTGTGAGACAGACTTGACTAGATGGCAGAGAAATTCAGAGGAAAAGACCCAAGTATATATCCTCTGGCTTCAGAAGATAAGTTGATGTGCGACAAGGGTCAAAATATGTTGGAGCCAATAGAACGGTAAAGGTCGGAGATCCTCTTCAAGGCGGGTCTACCAGTCTAGCACTCTATGTGACCAGGCCCTGGGATTGTAACAGAAGGTAGCCCGGGTCTCGTCATAAGCTGGCCTGCGTCGTAGAGCGAGAACTTCAAACCCCTCCCCACGCGCGGGCATGGGCATGGGCTGGGGGTGGGTGGTCGATCTAGTCAGGGCGCCGCAAAGCCTGAGTGAGGATGGGGTTTCTGGGTCGAAAAGATGATCAAACGGAGGGGTGAGGAACAAGAGCTTGCTTTTGGGAGATGGACAAAACGAATCCATGTCTAGCCCCTCTATCTAGACTGGACCCCAAGCAGTTGTCTCTATCATTTTGATATCTGAACCAGCCAGGTTCAAAGCCACAGTTGAGACATTAGTAGTGAGTAACAGCAAGGGGAAACAGAC